TTCGAACATGTTCAAATTTAAATTATATTAGAACATACGTTAAAATAAGATTACGTAAACAAGCATAACGAAATTAATACAATAAACAAGAAAAACAAAATAAAATAAAATAAAATACAAAATACGGTAATTCTCCTTAATACAATATGTAAACATTTTTTATAGTAACTCAGGTTTTATTGAGCCTGGTGGATGTATCCTCTTACGAGTTCTTTCTGATTATATATTTCTATGCCGACAGTAAAATGGTTGCATATTTATAGTTTAAACATTTATCCGTTAAGCTAGATCTGTAGATCTCACACTTCTCTGTTGTGGATGCAAGTGTTGGCGAGTGCACATTTCCAACGATTCTGGCTTCTTCCCATTTAACTATGGATCCATCTGTCTGTGCTATTTTTGATAACGCTGTTGTATATCGGCTCTTTGCTACGTCATACTTATGCTCTTTAATCTTTACCTTAAGATTTCTATTTGTGACCCCTATATATTCTTTATCTATTCCCAATTGGTCGTTCTTGTACGGTATTGCATACACTCCTGGTTGTTCTTTTTCATTAATTTTTTCTTTGTCATTTCTTAGCAACGTTTATTTATAACTCAAATGTGAGTTCGAAGTCCAACTGTATAAATGTTATAAAATAAACTTTTGTGCTGTTTTGTTTACACAATTATTTGGTATGAATTGAAAAAAATAATCTGTTGATGATCTTTCACACTGGTAGACAAAAAGTAACATAGAAAAGGACACTTGAATTTGAGTTTTATATTAAAATGATAGCTTTAGCTTGACTGTACAATGTTTCATTTTGTTTATGTACAACAGCATTACTTTCTGCTATTTTTAATGAAATCAGATAATGTCATTACAATTTTGGTTTATTTATTTTGTTATATAAACTGTATTGTATTGAAATTTGTTTTATATTAAAGTTATGTTTCTATGAAATTTAAAACATTATTAAATAACTTCAGAATTAGAAGACAATAGCAAAAGAAATCCTTATGTATAGTTCCTGCATTATTAGATGCACTATAATTTTTATACAAATCTTAATTATCAGCAAGTACAGTTTGGTGTTTGAATATTTATTACCAATGAATTTAACCTGTAATGTACAGTTTACTTTATTACATAGGTGCTAACACAAATGAAATGTTATATTTATTGAAAATTTTTGTTTTTATTAACATAGTAAAAAAATACAAAATTGCCATTTAAATTTTAGTATTTTGTTGAGCCACCTTTTGCAGCTATGAGAGCCTCAATCCGGCATGGCATGCTGTCGATGCAAGACTGGACTGGCTCCTGCATTTGTGGATGATGATTCCACACATGGATGATTTTTTCCAAAAGCTGTACAAATACGTGAGCCATTCACAGCCCGGCACATGTATTTGTTAAATCTAAGTGACTCATACAACATGGAATTCATATAAAATGGAATTATCAACAGTGTTATAGGGGGGTCAATTGTATTTTGGTTGTGATGGCCTCTTTGGCCACTTCCCTCTTCATAAGATCCCACACATTTTTTATGGGGTTCATGTTGGGACTATTACCCAGCCAATCCAACAGAGGGATATTTTGCTCTTGTAGATGTTTTCACAGACCTGGCTGTGTGGCAGGGAGCTCCATCTTGCATAAAAATAAATGGTTCCCCATTTGGGAACTATTTATTTTTGTTGAAGTTATTGGTGCCCATTGAAACACTGTTTAAATTAGCCATCTGTAACGTGGAGAACAGATGTTGTTAACCACTCTGGGTTAGATGCTGCTTGGGATTACTTTTTACTTTATTTCTCTTCATAGATCTTATTGCCATAAATGGTCCTATTGGAAGCTTATGCTTCTACTGACATTGCTTTATGATTCATTGGAACTATTGGGCTCTCTCACCTTGACAAGGTAATGACTATTAAAAGAATTATTATTATGTAGTAATGAATTCTATAAGAAATATAAGTTAAAGAATGAACTAAATAAAGTCACAATAAGAATAAATCTTAAATGGAACTACTATTGAGTCAGTTGGTTTTTTACTATTACTACATCTTGGAGTTAAGAGAAAAAGTTATTTCAAAATCAGTTATAGTAAATTTCAATAAAGCTATTTTCAGTTTTTACATATTAATTAATCAAGAGATTTGAGATGAATGTTGCAGGTAGATATATACAGGAATTTTACTGAAAACATAAAACCTTATCTAGTTAATACACTGATTTCTAAAATTAAAATAACAAATACATTTAGCATAATAAATTGAAACTGCTACTAGTAAAAGTTCTGAAAATAACAACATGTATACAATTTTGCATGACAAACTGAATTATTATATCAATTGGCAGCGAATACTGTACATAAACATGCAAATTATGCAAAGGGAAAATAGGAGTTCTGTCAACCTGTAATATAACTGGTTTTGAATAGTGATTATGGTTAGGTCAATCAATTTTGATAAAATGATATTTCATCATCATTATTATCATCATGCATTGAGATGATAGACAATCAGTTGAACCAAGGAGGCTAGTCTCAAGTGGAAGTCATCAGATGGCTACTTACTGTCACAAAAAGTGATATGCATGTTTTGGATATAGTTCCAAGAAACAGAAACCATTACCAGAAGAGCAGGACAAAGTTATCCAAGATCAGCAATCCTTTATGGAGAGAGTCAATTTAACCACCCACCACTAGACAGCTTTCTCATGAGCTTGCTGCTGCTATTGGAACATCAGTATCAAAGCAAGCTGTATATAGGTGGCCAGCAGAGAAGGGGCTTTATGCTAGATGACTAGTGTGTTCCCCTCATTCCTTCCCATAGGAGAGACCATCTAGTGCTGTGAGCATCATCTCTAGACACAGAACCAGTAGGCCTTGTTATGTTCTCTGATGAGTCAAGATACACTTTGCAAACTGATTCTTGACATATTAACATCTGGAGAGAGTGTTAGATAATATTAACAATGCTCAAACATCAGAGAAAACAATGACTATGGTGGACTGGTACCTAGTCTGGGGAGAGACATCTTGTTGATAGCTCCATGTCCCTTCATACCTTTAAGGAAGGAACTTTGATCACTCAGTGCCGTAGAGATGAGATTTTTCAAGGTGTCATCAGTCCCAGTTTATTTTTATAGACAGTATAGTAATATGAGTTTATATAAGCCTTATATAGTTCAGCTGGTTATGGATTTCCTTGAAGAGGAGGATATTCACAAGATGGAGTGATCTCTGGATCTAAACTTGATCCATTGTTTCTGGGATACTCTGAGGAGGGTCATTGCACCTCATCAGTCTACTCCCAAGATGCACCATAAGCTAAAATCTACTCTTATGGAGGAGTAGGATTTATTGCCCCAAAGCCTTCACCAGAACCTTGTCAACAGGATGACTACCTATTCTAGGTGCTATGTAGCAATCAGAGATGTTCACCCTTCCTGTTGTCTGGGGATCTACTTCCACATATTTGGATATATTTTGGAAAAAAGTGCATATTTCTGAAAATGAATTTTTTGTTTTCATTTTATACGACTAATTGATCTCTTGTGGCATGAAGTATCTATGAACAAAATTTTTTCCTTATTCACCAAATACTTTCTGATATATCTTACAATTTGTTTTTGTTGCTTTAATTTTGGACATCAGGACATATAAGATTATAAATAATTGCATTATTTATTAAAGAAAATTATTGAAAATACAATGGGTGATCAGTTAACAAACATAATTCGTTCCAAGACTTTGTTTGCTATCCAAATTGTTCATTAACTGATTATCAATTTACCATAGGTTTTTATGGAAAATTGATTAACTTGTTCTGGAGACCCCAAAAAATAAAAAATACTTTCTTACTATGTTTATTTATATGTAATAATAAAAATACATATATATGCAGTCTTGCATATTTGTTAGTCATGTTTTTTCCGTTTGAGGGGTTAAAGAATCTGTCTAATGTCAATTGCTTTTCTCTCTTCTTCAGGATTTTTCAGAAGTAATTAATAGCATTGTAATTGTAGAGATCCGTAAGCCTATTAACCTCAACCCAGTTTGGATGCCATTCTAAGACTATTGTTCTGACATCCTTCCACTTCAAAAGATCTTTAATAGCAGATGTCAGCATTAATCCTCTTTTTCAGAAGAAAACATATCTTGCCGAGTTTCTTGATGTTCTTCATTTAAGAATTCTTGGCATTCTTCTGTCATCAGATCAGTTTCAAGTTCCATTATGAGCTCTTTGATGTTTTTTGTTTCTCAGATGTGATTTTTGTTATTCCTTAAGCTGCTTGAGTCTTCTTGATTATATTTTAGATAAGATTGAACTATGGCCTACTGTAGACCTGTTCAAGCCATATTGCCCAGCAACATCAGACATCTTCTGCCCATTTTTTACCTTTGCTATTATACTCTCGCCTTTCGAAAATAAAAACTGATGCAAAACTTAACGAGTGCCCACCCGACAGTCTCACGAATGCTATAAAAGAATTGTTTCTGTCAGGAAAATAAAAGGCTGGAATTACAAGGGAGAGTTTCAAAGTTTGGAGGAATACTACTCGATCAGTATATACTGGGTTGAGCGTCGATGTCAGACGTTTCCCACACCCTGAAAAGTTTTGAATTGTTGCCTGAAGACAAGGGAAGACCAATCAGTATTTATTATTTTATGTCACTTCTTCTTGTGTTTGTTCTGTGAGATGTTCATTGTTCAAACATAAAAATCTTCTGCAAAAGTGTTCATTATCCAATTTGTTCATTAACTGATCACCCACTGTATATGGATATAGTATATCACTAATAAGATGATAAAATTTTGCTGATTAGAGCTTTTAGTAGTATAAATATCAATGTGTTTTATTGTTCAGATTTAATAAAAATAAATTAGAGTAAGAACTAACCTTATTGTGCAATCTGAATTGTTACACTTTTCATAAAAAATATTTATTTATATAGAGAAATTAAACTAAAATAATAATTTAATATATGAATATTTTTTATAAGGAATTGAAAGAAAGTTTCAACTATGGTTTATTTTGTCCGCCTGTTAATGGAAAAGCTGGAAAATTTCTTGATGAAGAGCGTCCTTTAGCTGATTATCCATTCCCTGAATCTGAAGGTTATTTAGAAGTGAGTTATTGTATATTATTTATTTGTAAAAATAAAATTAATTATTTAAAATGGCTGTACTATAGATTACCACCTATGGAATTTTGGGACTTTGAGTATATATTTGAACTTGGGACTGAAACAAGTTCAACGGTACCCTACTTTTGGACCGGAGACAAAAATAAGAAAGTTATCATATTTACAGTTTCTTACCTTTCACAGTGCTTCTTTTTAATGGGTTTGCAGACTTTACCGCTGGATGGTGGTACTAGCAACTATGGTGTTGTCTGCTTAATTTTTTTCTATTTAGGTTAGTTATTTAATTTAATTTAATTTATTTAACTAAGTTAAATAACTTATCTAAGTTATTTATTTATTTAACTAGTTTGGTTTGCACATTTTCACCACTAGGTGGCATTGCTTCCAATTACGGTGTTGTCTGCTTAATTTTCTATTTTTTATGCAGCAATTTTGAAAATGAATTTCCTTAAGCTAGCATTAGAAGTAGTCAAAAATAAGGAAACATGTTTTAAATGGTTACAAGATCAAAGTCTCCTTCATAAAGCAAAAAATGTAATAGATGCAGAGAGTGGATGAAATTAGAAGTGTTCACTGAAGAGAAAGATAAAGGCAAAGGATGGGGACGCCTGCAGTGCCAGAAGCATGGACAGCAACAACAAATCACTGCTGGTACTTTCTTTGAGCAAGTCAAAATCTCACCAAGGAAAGCAGTCATTCTAAACAGTCATTTCTTGCCTTTCACAGTGCATTCCATGCCATTTCAGATTTTTCTGCTATATAGTGGATACGGTCATTTCCCGGAGGAATAGGTTAGGTTTGTTTGACAAGCTGAAAAAATGGCACGTAGTACTAGCCGACCGTGAGTGATAGCGAGTGTGTCAGCGGCTGAGGGGCTGCAGGCCCTGAGGTTGAGGAGTGCAGGGCATGCAAAAAGGACTTAACTTTAACTGCAGATCATCAGTGTGCTTGTGTGATCAACATCTGCCTCTGTTGAAGGTATATATGGCTGACTTGCCGGACTGCCTGTTAAACACACGACAGGCTTAGCGGAGAGAGCGACATGACTCCCAATCATCACACGATTGCCGGAAAAAATTATGATAACTTTCTTACTTTTCATCTCTGGTCTAAAAGTAGGGTATCATTGAACTCGTCTCAGCCCCCTCAGTTCAGATATATACTCAAAGTCCCGAAATTCCATAGGTGATAATCTATAGTATCCTCTTTAAAATATTTATAAGTTCATTATTGGTTCAATTTTTATCTTTTGAAAAAAATTATTTATTGTAATAGAAAATATTATAATTTTCATGGTTTTTCTATTTTAAAAGTACAATTGTATTGATAGAAGAATCACCAAATTTTAAAAAACTCATATTACTGTTTTCATTATTGATTTGATTATCAATGGTTTCTATTTCTGATTTTAAAATTGACATGCTAACAAATTTAATCAAATTATATGATTTTTTTCAATATTATGCTAAGAGTTTTAACTTAATTTTTGTTTCTATCATACACTGCAGAGTATTGTCAATATATTTTGTTAATTTATCAAATACAGTAGAACCTCGATTATCCGGACTAATTGGGGATGAAGGTAGTCCGGATAAGGAAAAATCCGGATAATCGAAACAAATACTTTAATTTGTCTTTTAATGATAATACAACACGTTTTCTTTTTGATGACATATCGGTAATATTAAAAATAAATACTGTATTTAAATCATGATCAAATTTTCAAGAAACAAATGTTTTATTGAATTTGGACTACTACTGACCAGCGCTAACAGACTAACTATTATTTAAAAGGCCCTCTAGCCTTTTAAACAATAGTCAGTCTGTTAGCACAACAAGAAGATGGATTTTATAAAATAAAAAGCAGTTGAAACTGCATTTTTATGAATAAAAATTTGACAAACTGTTTATCATTTTATGACGAGTAAAGATTTTTTGTCGCATTCTCAGCTTTTAAGTAATGCATAAACCTTCGAGGCACGAGGCCCTTCGGACCGCGAGGCATAGATGGTGGCCCACGTTGTCCATGCCTTTCGCCGCCCTTGGTTATAGAAATGATGTAATTTGAGTATAAATTATTTATAAATACGCATGTCAAGTTATATTTTTATTACGACGCAAAATATACAGTAGAACCTCGATTATCCAACCCCCGATCAACCGACCCCTCGGTTAACCGACCGTCCTAGTCGGCAAATTTCAAATGTCCGCTAGTGATGTGGTGCTACAATATTTGGCTATGTCTTGGCTACTTTAATATTATTTTTACGTGTTTTAGCTGGCAACACTCATTCAACCATGAAAGGGAGCCAGTATTTAAACGAAGCTTAATTTTCTAATTTTTAACAATACAATAGCGACGATTATTATTTTAAAAAATTTTTGTTAGGCTTAACATCAATGAAAATTCAATGCAAAATAGGTTAATAGCGATATAGTAATATACTAATATACTAATTACATGGGATATAATAATATACTACACTAATAATGGATTTTTTCATACTTTTCGGTTATCCGACTTTTCAATTATCTGACCAACCCCAGTCCCCAATTAGGGCGGATAATCGAGGTTCTACTGTATTTAAGAGTTTATGGGCACTGTGCCGGGTGAGATGTTGTTGAAACAAAAAATGTTATGCATTCCATCACGTACATAAACAGTGTCGTAATTCGCCAAGTGCAAATCAGCAAATTCGTAAAATTTTTGTTTATTTTGAACATCCGGATAATCGAAAATCCGGATAATAGAGGTCCGGATAATCGAGGTTACACTGTATATTAATTTTACTATTATTTACCAAGAACTTTAAAAAGAAGTGCCTAATATCTACTATATAAAGCTGAAAAACTGGGCATTTTCTTTCTTTCTGTCACTGTATGCCAAAAATGGTCACTAGGGGCACCCCTAGCTATTATTTTAATTAACAATAAATTCAGTATACAGTAATACCTCAATTTACGCGAACCCGGAGTTACGCAATTTTCAAATCTCGTCGATTCGTCTTTTGTTTGAGTACCAAACAACTCTCGATTACTCAATCCCACCACACTATTGTTCGGCTTACATGTTCAGATGTGTCACACGGAATCGACACATAGCCACAATTTATTTTGTGTTATTTATTTCTGTGTTTGTTATATCTACAGAGACTTGAGAGACTCTATGTGGTGATTTCTTCTAACGTGAATGAATCAAAAGACGAGATAAGATTAACAAGAACATTTATTAGCTTACATACATCCGACTTGGGTTTTACGCATATTGCGAAATTATACCCCGACTTACGCGAATTTGACTTACACGGTTATCGCTTGGTCCCACCTATCATGTAAGTTTGGGGTATCACTGTATTATTATTTCATGCAGTTTCATGCATTTTTGGCTGTGTTTTAGTAAGGTATGCCATGAGAAATTCAGTATATTATTATTTTTATTTGTAATAGGAATTTATTATTTATACCACAGAATGACACTGCTGCTGCTAGAATGCCAACTAGGGAACATCCTGAGCTATTAGAATAGAAGGATTAGAAGTATGAAAGAATCTAATAATCTTAATCTTTGTTGTTGTTTTTTTGCCCGGGCAATGTCGGACTCATCTGCTGGTTTTTTAATAAGTCCAAATTGTCAGCAGGCTAAATACACTCAGAAAATTAGAAATATTTTAGTTTAATTATTATTGTAAAAAGACTTATACAATCTGAGTTTATAAATGTAGAAGTAAACAAATTATACAGATAAACAGTGGGTTATAAGGAAGCCATTTAATCATCATCACCAACATTTATAGGAAACCATCTTATAACCCACTGTTTATCCCTCGGGCTTATCATGATCCAAGTAACTACATGCTAGCTGCATACAGGGCTCTTATTAAATGAGCCCATATGCATTGTCAAACTGTCCAAGAGAGAATGCAGGAGCTAGAGTACATCAAAACACTAGGCTATCAATTTGGTTTTAAACCATGAATCATAACATCTATGATCAAGAGATACTAACCAGAAATGGAAGACATACAGTAAAAGGATGAACAGGCTGGGTATACAATTGTTGAATATATGTTAACTTTCCGGCATATATACAAGGAAGTAGGAGCAGCTAAGATAGCATTTCTTCTGAATATAATCTTACAGGGTGTAAGATTATATTCAGAAGAAATGCTACCATCTGTATGAGGTTCGGCCAGAAAGTTCTGAGACTGATGATGTGGTGGTACAATTGACTATGTGCTGAACTTGCATGAACTAGGGTATGTAATAGACATTGATATTTAGCTTCCTGCAAAATTTTATGGCATTACCATATATGGTTTTTGTTTCTTGCTATTTAGATATGCGTGGATGAACTCCACTTTACATCAAAATTTTACTTCTGTACCAGTTGTCATCTTGTTTAGTAAGAGTTGTTAAATAACTAAGTAAAAAAATCCAGCAACGAGTTGCATAACACTCCTTGATGTTATGAGATTTTAATTAAAAAATAAATTTTATATTATTAAACATAAATAAATGGGTGTGTGGAGTTGTTGTTTATGAGATTTTGTTATAAAAAACTTTTTATATTTTTAGTTGTTATAAAATGGCTGGCAAAAGGCTTAATTTTGAGGGTAGAGATTAATTTTATAAAAAATTGTAAATGTTAATAACAAATAAAATCTTCATAGTCTGACACTACTCAAAATATGATCCATGATCCCTTTGACCTTTAACTACCAAAATTTTATAGCATCGATCCCTCTAATATACAAACCTCCCTGCAAAATTTCAGAAATTTTCAAAAAGTTATGGGAATTATTAAGCTTGAAATTGGGTGAACAAAATTGTGCACACATGCTCACACATTCATACCTACAGAAAAAATCTCAAAACTTTTTTTTTGCATTTCTCAACATTTCAAGGTTCCCTGAGTCCAAAAGTGTAAAAATTCTCCCATAATTTCCCTCTTTTGCCATCTTCTGTATGTTATAAACATTCAGTGGAACCTTGCTTAATGAGCATAATTCATTCCAGAATCTTACTCGTTAATCAAAACAATTTTTCCCATATAAATGAATGTAAAATATGATAATGTATTCCATGCCAAAAAATACTCAAATATTTTATGTATAATGTTTATTAAATAAAATTATACAATATACATTGTTAAGGAGTGTGAATCATCGTCATCTTTTCTTCTAGCGCGGAATGAACCAACCTGGAATGCAAATTCGATTTGCATAATTTGGAATCGGTCATTAAATTTAATACTGGATGGCAGCATAACTGCTTACCTCTAGTCAAATTATTTAATTTCTAATATTTAATTATAGCCTTTACATAGCCCAAGAATTTGGCATATTGTTTGGCGTGTTTATTATATAACAGGCTATGGTTGTTGTTTATATGTAATATCAGACATATTACATATAAACACAAGTTTAGAAAAATGTGTGATCACAAGCAACACTAAGTACACAGACTGATATAGCATGCGCACAAGGGACTTTCCCTCTCATGGTCACTTGTTATGTGAAACGTCGCTCGTTAAGCGAGTCATTTTTTTTACAATTTATTTTGCTCATTATGCGAATTACTTGTTATGAGAAGTGTTCGTTAAGCAAGGTTCCACTGTACTTTGTGAATAAGCAATTTTTTAAAATTAGTTTTTTAATATTGCTAGTTAAAACAAATTTAACTTGTAAAATTGTGTAAAAACCAATAGTCAATTAAAAATTTATGTTCCTGACTTTTTTTATTTGACTCTTTCTTATGATAGCCTTCTTATGTACACCAAGATAGCCTTTTAATCATGCCTGTTGAGAATTTGGTCAGATTAGATTGTGGGTGATGGGACCATGAAAAATTTTTGAGATTACAAATTCTATTCAAGTACAGGTTCCTCAGAGTTTGACAGGCTAATATCTTTATTACATCAATCATCTGGCTGCCAATTTAACTAAAAGTTTGCAGCATAGTCATCAACAAACAATTAATACCTGAAGTAATGGCATACTAATAATCTCATGTCTCTCTCCTTACAGCCATTGTTTATTGCCGAAAGATGTCTTATTTCTTATTATACATAATGTATAATTAGAATATTCCCAAAAAATTCCTAAACTGTCACATCATTTCAATATATTTGCTAACTGGAACATCTTCAATATCCATTGAAAATGAAAGAAAACTAATTGCACATTTGTAGATTTCATTATGATATCATACTTGAAGGCTTAGACTATTTACAAAAATATCAAATTTTCGAGTCTATCTTAATCCTTTTAATACACACCAGAAGTAACAGTTAACATGGGTTTTATTGAAGAATATACTTCTTAAAACAAAGGTAAACAATAAGTAAAAAAATTCACAAAGTTAAAAACAATCAAGTGTCAGCCTTCTGTTTTAGGTTCTGACACTTTACATTAAAAACATGAAGAATTCTTCTCAGGCGAATTGCGCACGGCGTTATTGTGAATCTGCGTAAATTGAACCGGTGTAAACCGAGGGCTACTTGTACTATTAATTATGATACTATTATTGAATGTGTAAATCAGCAATTATTTATTAGCAGCTTGTTGAAGTGTATTACATGAAGTGATATTAAGGCAACAAATTGCCAAATAATGTAGTATGATACTCCTTTATAACAGTACTCAACCAAACATGACACAGCAAACACCACTTGTTTGTTGCAATATTTCTATTAGGAAGCATATAGTGAAGTCAAATGTAGCTGACATACAGTGACATACAGCAGCTGAAAAAATAGGGGTATTCTTTCTGCACATCCAGGACAAACTTATTACAAACTGTGAAGGGTTCCTCATTCTTCAAGGATACTATGCTTAAAAAATGTATCTGTAACGTTTCTGTTGCATATTGTAAGTCTATATATATATATAAATGGACGTGTGTGTTCCTATATTTCACTTTTCTGCAAAAACTACACATCGCACATGAATGGTGTTTGTATGTGGTGGTAGGCCCAAGTCTCCATTCGTGCATAGGGGTGGTTGCGTCTCGATAGCTATAAGGGTGCGGGAGATATGAGGCTGAAAGTGGTTGAAAGTGGCTTTCTATTTCGAATGTTTTGTTTGAATTTGTTCGAATTTAATTCGAACAATGTTCGAATTTGTTTGAATTAAATTCGAACCTAAAATTCGAATATTGGTTTGATTATAGAACGATTGTAAACGTTCCAGAAACGTTGAAAATAGTTTGTTTGACTAAACGTAAAAATTCTCTAATTAGTCTGGAAACGGGGGACCTAATTCTTGCATTC